GCGGCGGCCCCCACCCAATGCGCGGCCCCTGCCCCCTGCCTTTAAGAACCGCGCGCACTCTCCTTGCAGCCGAAGCTGCCGGCCTAGCATTCCCCCGGAGTTTCCATGGAGACCGAGGCTGGGCCTGCGCGGCCTCGCGGCGTTGCCATGGAGACAACTCCCGGGCTGGGGCTCCGAAGCCCCGGCGTACCGCTGCCTCAGAATCCCGTGGAGCCGCTGTGCAAGGCCGGAGCCGCGGTGGCGGCGGCGGCACGCTGGGACCCACGGAAACACTCTTTGCTCATCGTGATCGGCGATATCGGTACAGAGAGTCAGCTGAGGGCCGTGCGGGCCCACCTTGAACAAGGTGAGCCGCTGTCCTGGCTGTGCTCGGGCATCTCCATCCGTGCTTTTCCGCCATCTGCATTCACCTCCCAGTGCGCAAGTCTGTATCCTCCATCCCTAGTGAGCACTACTTGAGATCTGCGCCCGTCACCTGCATCTTCCACGCCACGAGTCCTTATATTCCCGAGCTGCTAACATCTCACCTCCCCATCCTTCTGCACACCCCGTGGCATTCCACAACCTCCCTGTGGGTGGGAAGCTCTGCAGCCCCTGGGGCCCCTCTGATCACACCCCTCTCCCGCAGTCTCTTGGGCCCGACATCCTGAAAGACCTCAGCATCCCCTGGAGAGTCCATGTGCCTACCTTACAGTTTCTTCTTCAGGGTCCCTGAACCTTCACAGGGTGTTTCTTGAAGGTCTGAATCTCAAATCTCAGAATGCCAGAGGCCAACCTGAGAGAGTGACCTTCGTGGCTACAACTCCTCCCCAGTTGCTGTGCCTGTGGCGCAGTGCTGCGGAGCCACCTGCGGGTGGAAGCAGCTGAGCTGCGAAGGGGTGGAGGCAAGGAGGGGGGCAAAGGAAGAGAGTCTAGAATCCTACTTAGCTTTAAGGACCAGAAATGCAGCCCTCAAAATCTGGGAATAGGTGTTAGGATCTCTTCTACCCTCACTGGGCAACTTTGCAAGAAATTCCCACCTGCCAAGTCATTTGGGACCAAGTTTAGTCTAAACTCTGCCCTTGTGCCTTTGAGTCTTTCAAAGTTCAGAAAAGGAGTAGGCTGAGAGATAAGAGGTACTTTTGGCATCTTTCTTAGAGACCTCGGAGAAGTCAATCATGGAACTGTCCTTAACCCCTTCCTCTCTTTACCCCTTCTGTAAGCTTGAAAGTGCTCCCTGCCGTTCCACCCCTCTGACCTTATCTAGAACTCTTGTTTCTTTTTTCTTCCACAGGGATTCTCTCCTGGAACATTGACTTATCATCCATTGACTTGAACCAACAGTTGAGACTCTTCATTACCCGGCACCTAGCTCACTTCTCCTCAGAGGTCAAAGGTTAGGACTATGTCATTTGTCTCAGTCCTTTGGGTGAGGGCTGGTCACCGAAGAGAGGAGGTCCAATCTCCCTGGGAGAGTTGGGCTTGAGGGGGGTTTTGGTGGGGAGAAAGCAGGGACGCCTGAGCGGAAAGTCACAGAGCTCCATAGCTACCCCCATATCCTCAGTACCTTTACAGACACATGGTATGATGGTGGAAGAAGTCCAGAGAACGTAATTTCTCCCTGAAAAGAGGGGTGTTTATGGGCAGGTGCTGACGTGTATAAAGGGAACAAGGTCCTCCTCTTGAATGACCAGTCCTCTCTCTTGCAAAACTCCACTGTTTGGATTATCTTTCTTCATATCCCAGCCTACCCTCTTCCCTTTAGAGGAACCCCAGATTGCCCCACTCATTTTCCTAGACCCTTGCTTAGCATTTTCCCTCAGGCTGCAGAGCCTACCCTTCAGATTTTAAAGCAGATGAGCACCATCAAATCCAGTGTGGAAAGAGTATCTCCTGCATTTATAGCTACAAGAGTTAGTTACACTCCGAGATCAGTTTCCCATTCTGCTGGGTGAGAGAAATGGGTCAGATTTGAGAAGATAAGATTTTAGCAACTATCATTTCATGCCGGATATCTGGGAGATGACTGCAGAAAGTCCCACGTCCCATTATAAAAGTGGCAGGCATCTGGTCATGTTATTGGTGGATGTTTACACACCAATCCATGCAGCTTTATGGAATATAAAATTCATTCAATTCAATAGCCACTGCCATTGAGTGCCTGAATTTATACCATTATTCTCTATAAGCCAGGGGTGCACGCACTCGCCAGAAAGAGACAGAGAGACAGAGAGAAAGGGAGAAAGTATCCCCCGGTGGGGCATGGTTATTACACAATCTTTTCTCTATTTCTCTGTCCTGTCAGGATTTGACAGGCATGCACATATATGTGCCTGGCATGTTTTTCAAGCTGCCAGAGCCAGGATTCAAACCATGCATTCGGCCGTGTGGTCTCTGGTTCCCTTAAATACCAGGTCACAGGACTGGCCCCTGCATGTATATAATTCTCAGTTTTCCAGTATAAGCGATCACCTGCTTCTCGATCCTCCTCCTAACTACCAGATCTTTGGTAATTCTGTGAGCACTGACTCTAGAGATGCTACAGGAAGTTGGGGAAAACAGTAATAGGACGAATGTTCTATTATCCTAGGAATATGGGTAGCAATTTTTAAAAATACAAGGTTGGCAGTTTCCTGATGTGAATGGCTTCCTGTAAAGCTGGCTGCTCAGTCTTTTAAGACTGCCTTCTGTTTAGAATTCCTTGTGTCATGGCTTCCTCCATTATCCCTGATGATTGGAAATCAACGGTTTCACTGTGTTGTACTCCTAGGAGCCTTGGTGCTAGGCTGGGTAGGGAATGACAGAGGATGAAATTAATGACTGTATTGAATTTGGGGGACTATTCACTGATGTTAACAATTCACACTGAATTCTCTAACCTTGGCATTTTGGCCACAGAGACTTGAGAATAGACTGCTTTCCAACATGATGTCAGAAATGAACAGAAAAAGTATTTAGCCGGGGAACCAGCAGTTAGCGTAATGGCTATGTCGCTGGACTCCCATGTAGTCGACCACGGTTCGCGTCCCGGACCTGGTGGCTTAAAACTCACGCTGGACGCATGTGCGTGCGCGTGCGTGCCCAAGATCCCGAGAGGAGAATGGAGAAGAAGGGATTGCGGCGTGACCATTCCCCCTGGGGGGTGATTTCTCGCTTTCTGTCTCTCTGTCTCTCTCTGTCTAGCGAGCGCACGCGCCCTATAGCGAAAATCTCTCCAAAAAAAAAAAGTATTTAGCCAGCTGTTCTTCAGATTTAGGTATAGGGATGCTTGGAAAGACACAGGGAGATGCATAGTTACTCTCGGGCCCTTTTCAGAAACAAGCTCTGGTTTATAAACACCCACTTGACCTTTTTATTCAAAGAGTTTTGTCGTGGTGTCCTCAAAGGGTGCAGGGCCATATACCCAAGGTCAGGGCTTATTTTGACATACTGAATTTTTTTAGGTTTGGACATTTTCACAGTGGCTAGTCAGTGTCCCTAGAGAATAGTGGAGAATTTCCTGGAAAAACCCACATAACTCAAGACAGCCACAGCCCCACCCCTGCTGGCTCCTCTCTCAGCTGTCCCTGCAAACAACAGTCAGCCCAGAGCAGCTGCAGACACTGCCCCTCCCTTCAGCCTCCTGTTACTGAGGAGGCAAAAGGAACCAGGAGGCTGGGATGGGCTCAAGGGGATATGCTACTGCCTCCGGACTTGACTCTTTCTGCCCACCTTATAGACCGGGCCACTATTCCGATCATCTGTCCTCAAGTTCTGAGCCAAAACTCTTACAATGACAGGGAGATAACAATATTTCTTAGACACTGCCTGCTCCACATTCACACACCCACACACAGAAAAGGGGCACTGTGATGGAGAGTCAGTGGTCCAGCTCCTTCTAGCGGTCAAGTGTGGTAAAAGCTTTCCAAGGTGGCTTTTGTGCCAGGTAGTCTCTAGCTGTGATCTGAGGACTTACTTTTTTAATTCCTGCAAACAAAAACAAAAAACCCTGGAGCTTCTGAACAGTCAAACCCAGAAACAATTAGAATAGTAGAAAACTGAGTCTCAATAATACTCTGATACTTCTCCTCGATAGGACAGGGAGAGATCTTCATAATTTATAATCAATATCCTTTTTTAAAACTTTGTTTGTTTATTTATTTATTTATTTATTTATTTGACCAGAGAGAGAAGGTGAGAAAGCAAGCCGCCAGGTCTGGGACTCTAACCATAGTCGGCCATGTGAGAGTCCAACACCCTCAACCACCACACCACCTGCTGGCCCCTATAATTGATAATCTAAGACTCTGCAAAACACAGGCTGAGGGGCCAGTTGGAAATCTTCTGTCTGGCTCTCCACTGCCACTGATGTGCTCAGGAAGTGATAGTTCTGATGGGTTCAGGAAGTGATAGCTCTGGTACTTCTGCCAGCATGAAAACAATCCTGAATTAATACAGCAGCTCATTGGCCCCTGGAACTTGCGTCTACTTTGCCATCTGAATGGAAGAGCAAGGACAGGAATAGAACTTTTAAGATTCATTCTGCAAGCACCTCCATTCTGGGCTCATCTGGGAGTAAGGCTAGTCCAGAGTCAGTCTGGTCTGAGATTCTTTCTTTCTTTCTTTCTTTCTTTCTTTCTTTCTTTCTTTCTTTCTTTCTCTGTTTCTCCTCTCTTTCTCTCTTTCTCTTTCTTTCTTTTTTGGAGAGGTTTTTGTTATAGGGTGTGTGCACTCACCAGAAAGACCGAGAGAGACAGAGAGACAGAAAATGAAAAATCACCCCCCCAGGGGGGTTGGCCACGCCACCATCTCTTCTCCTCCATTCTCCTCTCGAGATCTGGGGCACACACGCACATGCCCCCAGCTCTGGTCTGAGATTCTGACTTAGAATTTCCCTGATCATCTAATTAACCTTTCAAAAATCTTCCAAAAAAGTGACACAGACTTCCAGAGGCACTTGTACATTGCAGGCTTAGGATTCTAGGAATGAAAAACCACTTTCTTTTCTGTTATGCCATATAATTCTCATAGAATTCCCATTGGCAGATAGAACTAATATGTTCCTTTTATAGTTCCGGGAGAAAGCTGTCAGAGAGGTTAAGTGGCTTGTTTAGCAGCATGATTAGTGAAATGGCACAGTCATGTCTCAAATCCAGGGCTCCTGCTCTCACTTCATGTCTGAGCTCCAGCCTCCCTTCTTTGGCATCTCATCATTGCATTGCAGCAAAGCCTAGGAATAGAGTGCTGGAGGGTGGGCTGTGGTGGATGACTGCTCAGAGCATAAGGACTGAAAGAAAACTCCCCTGTGAGTTGGAACCATGCTCAGGGTGTGCCCCTTGGGGTGGCAGCTAAGAATAAGGGTGAGCTCTGCATTGGACTAGGAAATATTATTTTGCTCTCAAGCCAAATGTCTACTCAAGTTTCCCTCCTAGCACACTCTGGAGAACCCTAAAAAGCAGAGGGGAGATAGAATGCTTGAGGTGGGAGGAAGCAAGAACTGTGAAGCTGCAGAAAGGAGGTATTTCCCTTTTGTGATGCTCAGAATTCTGCCTGGTTTGCGTTGTACATCTCTGCAGATGGTCCGTTCTATCCAAATGGGGCTGTTGTCATGTTGCTGCTTTGCATCCCCGGAACTCAGCAAAGATTCCTCCCCCTCCACCCCCCGCACCCCCCAAGAGTACTGGTGACTCAGCTCCTCCTCTCCCCTGGCTGCAGTTAAGAGGGCATGGAGGATGCTGAGGGCAGAGACTATTTTGGCTTCTCTATTTTGACCTTCAAAAGCAGCTCTTGGCAGCCTGGGGCAAGGGTGGGGCTGTGCTGGGGTGTGAGTGGGTGGATGTCACTGTGAGGAAGGCTTTAAGGAGCTGGCCAAGACTGGGGAGGGTTGATGGGAAGAGGGCAGGAAAGGAGTATGTGAGAGCGTGGGCATCACCCATTGGAAGCGAATGCTAAGACTCTTTCAGATCCTTCCTTTGAGTCCTAAAGCACTTCAGTAAATCTGAGACAGAGGTAGAGACTAAGGGAAACAGGGCCAATGTTAAAAGATCAGGATGCTAAGAGACAGAGACAACAGAGAGATACAGAAAGGTGGAGAGATAAGAAGAGAACAGGAATCCAACTACCCTGCAAAGTTATTTTTTTTAATCCAAAGAATACGAGACATTTAAAAACTGGCCTATAGTAAGAAAACCTTGCTTGAGTTTAGGGCCCTGGTGATCCTCCTTCATCCTTAGTAACTTCTTCCCTGAACGGCAAAAAGCTCTCTGCCCCTTTAGCGACTGCCTCTTCCTACCCAATGACTCAAGAATCCCAAGGACCAGTGCTTGTGTGGTTGCTGTGCGGTGCTGCATTGGCACGGAACTGCAGGCAGCTCCCAGGGTCCCTGTGCCCCACCCCTAGCTGGGAACCATGTGCTCAGTCCAGAATTTCAAACTATCCTCGGACTCTAAAATGCCCTGCCCTGGTCTCTGTAGCTGAGGTTCAGAGGGCAGAGCTCAGCACATCTCCCCCCATCCCCAGCTCCCCACCTCTCCATCATGTTTTCAGGCCCCCAGCCTCTTTGTCTCCTGCTCCTCCAGGGACTGAAGGTCACTGCCTGGGTCTGTCTGAGGGGAGAGGCAGCAGATGGTTTCTAAGAGAAGGGGGAGGGCCCCCAGCCCATGCTGCCTGTATCTCCATTCTGTGCCCTTGTTGGTGCCTTTAGTTTCTAAGAGTATTTCTTAACAAATCAGAATTGGGGGACAAGGGTCTTGTGGGCCACAGGAAATTTAGCTCTTTGAGCTGTCAGACCACCCCTCAGCATCCCAGAACCAAACAGAAGTACTAAAAGGCTGTCATTGCTAAGGCAAAGAAACAGTTAAATCTCCAGTGCCTCGTCACGGACCAGCCCCTCTTCCCCGCCCTGGCACCGCCCTCCCCATCAAGCCCCCCCCCCACTCCCACCCCAGTGCTGCGGACTCTTCCCAGAAGCTACCGGCTGGGGCCCGGGCCGGCACCCACCC